CAACAGAGAGGGGAAGTTAAAAAGGTGGAGGTCGGGGGGGTGCAAAAAGACCAGACTGGAGAAGAAAGGGAGGGAAAAGAGGGAAAAAAGCCACAAAGGTCTGAAACAAGATGCAAAAAAGCAGATTTTTTTTCAGAGATAAAGGATAGAGTATAATGAAAGAAAGATTCTGCAAGAGTACATAAGATAGTATTGTAGTATTTGCATTTGAAATAGTCCATTGGAATATAACAAAATATTAAAATATTAAAATGTTTAATAAGGATAGATCTCAATATTGAATAAAATATTAAAGAGAATGTGTAAAATGATTAATGTTTAGTTATAGTTTAATTCGTTATTGTCTTAATGTTATTATAAATTTACTATTTCATTTTCTTATTTTAAAATAATGTATTAAGTAGAATTAGAATGGAAATTATATATTTAACTATATTACAAATTTATTATTCTTTTATTTTAAAATGCAACATGTAGAATGTACTAAGCAGAATCAGAATGGAAATTATGTATTATTTTAAGTGTTAATTTAGGGGAAAGATAGAAAGGCGTCACACTTTAAAAGTGATTACAGGGGAAATTTTCTGTTAAAGAGAAGAGATATATAGATAATTGGAAAAGAATGGACAAAAGATACAAGCATAATGATTTTAAAATAAGATGAAATAAACAAAATATAATTAAGAGAGTGAAAAGAAGGGAGAAGTTATATAGAAAATATAGAATGGTAAATAAGATTAGAATGGTATATAAGGTGAGCATGAATTTTATTTAGGTCTGTAAAAAAAGATGTAACCTGGGGCTAAGCCACTTTTCAAAAGAAGTTTTATGTTTTATGTTCTGTGTTTTGGTTAGCTATGTTTGATTGAGAATTAATAAAACCTTGGAGGAATAAAACTAAAGAGAGAAATAATAAGAAATTTGGAAAAGATATGTACAAATGATAACTAAGGAGGTTTTATGTTTTTATGTCTTGTTTTATGTTTTGTATTTTGTGTGTTTATGTTTGATTGAGAATTAATAAAACCTTGATAGAAAGAAATATAATTGAATAAAAGTGAAGGGAGAAATAATGAGAAATTTGGAAAAGATATATAGGTGCTTAAATGGAAATGTGATAATGTGGAATTATGCCTTAAAAATAACATTTTATTTGCCTTGTTAAAACTTATAAGTAATTTTTAGAAAGGAGGTTTTATGCCTTTATGTCCTATGTTTTGTCTGTCTTTAAAAAAATCAGTAAAATTTGTTGTTGTTGTTTTTTTAAAAAAATCTTTGTTAGCAAGCACCTAGAAACCAAGAGGAACCTACACACCAAATTTCAAGTTTGTAGGCTTTACAGTTCTGGAGATTTTGTAATGATGCATAAGTGGTATTTTGCTTTTATATTGTGGAAAGGGAACTTCATGAGGACAGTGGTGACACCCAAGCAGGAAAAGCCCAAAGGGAACATCAGGCCAGTCATAAAACAAACTTGCATAGGAAAAGAGATTTAATAAAAGGTATTAAAAGAAGCCCCCTAGACAAAAGCCAAGTAATTAAGAAAGCTAGGGAAACAAGAAAAAGAAATCCCTTACAAACAACAGGTCATGCCAAATCAACAAAACAAATAGACAAAAGACACAAAATAAATTCCATAGCAGACAGGAGATTGCCACTAAACAAACATAAGAAAACATTAGAATGAAACTGATAATCCAATCAAACCACCCCGTGGAGTTTACCCTCCAGTGGAAATGAAGACAACCCCCGACAGGATTTAAAACATTAAGAAATACAAACACAAGCACACACACACACACAAGGAGAAAAAGGTATAAAAATCAGGGGTTTATTATACAAAGATGGCTAGCCCCAGGAATGCAGACTTCTTGCTATCTCTTGCCTTCCTGAAAAATAAACCAGCTTCCAAGCAGTTGTCTTGTCCTTGCACTGGAGTTCTCCCAGCAGGAAAAGCGAGCCCTCAGAAGAAAGGCATTTAAAAGCCTTTCAACAATATATAGAGAGAGATTTAAAAGTAATTGAAAAGTTTAGTTTGGTTACAGCTGGAAAATGAGATTTGGAAAGAAAGGAATAAGGGAGAAAGAGCTGGTTATCAAAATTAAACTTCAGCCAAATTGGACCAAAAAGGGATGAAAGGATGCAGTAAAGATTGCAATTGTGCTAGAAATCTTCTGCTGTTTATGTTTACTAACATCATTCTTTGGTTTTGTGTTGTATTTTTATTTTTGGTTAGCAACTCTTTGGTAGCCTCCTTCCTCCTGCGGAAGCCTCTTCTGAATTTACTAAGCAGAAAGAGTGTTCTCCCTCTCCCTCTACATTTCTCACACAATAAATTGGAGCTCTGTCTTCTACCATAAAGCTGATGATCTGAAAAGCAAGGTTCAAAAATAAATGTTAGAAAGTGGCTCTAGTGCTTTTTTTCTCCACTATTCCTCTTATCGACTAAATATTTGCAATGAATACAACAATCGTGCATGTTGATTGGTGGAATGTTCAATATAATTGCATTTGTCAATGACAATAAAATAAAATCTGATACTGCAAGTGAGGAAGGGATGAGAGAGGAAGGGAGAGAGAGACAGAAAAAGAGAGAAAGAACTCCTTTCCTCTCTTTGGAAATTGTAAGGTGTAGATGATCACAGTTTTTACTACAGAGTTAAACCCTCTGCAGTAATTAGTCCACAAGGGGTTCGAAACCCACGGTCAGATCTAAGACTGCAGACACCTGTCCATTTCCAAATAACAGATAAAATGTATTTCCCACTCATGGCTAACTAAAGTAAAAAATGTCACTCACACCAATTGTGGAAACAATGGAGATATCCACTCCCTTCTAGAGTGATCTTTAAAGAAATCATAAACTTCTTAAAATTAGGGTATGCCAAACTATATAGTACTATGCAAAGGAAAGAAACTGCATTTATAAATCATTGTAAAAAATAAAAATAAAGTGAATCTTTAAAAACTCAAGTGTAGTTTGTATTGAAAATTCCCTTTTGTACATTTTATTAGCAATTGTGCATTTAAAAAAGCATTTAAACATTGGCCACTTATTCTCTCATCAAAAACAAAAAATAATAATTGGGCCCAAACATCAAAGACTGCATAAAAGATGATTTCAATTCAAGAATAATTAACATAACTGGACACAAGGGGATTGGCATGAGGATAATAATGGCTGTGTGTTTGCTACAAGTCAGAGCCATTGCTACAAGTTGCCTCCCCATTATTCTCTGCCAGAATATCTGTTCAAACCCTGACAATATTAAGACACAAATTTGCAGCCTCGGGGATCTTCAAATAGACAATGGTGGATTTTCTGATTAGGTGCACTCTCAGATATAAACCTTGAATTGATCCCTGGGTTATCCACTGAAATAATAAAAACTTCCCCCCAGAGTATGATAGGAGAGGATGGAATAGAGACATTTTCAAGAGTGAAAATGTTGTTCCTCCTGATTTTTCTTTTGAAGAAAATAATGACTCTGAGCTGCCCTGCAAGTGATGCTTTCCTTGTTCCACATGAGTGGTATCAACCTGGAGACCTCATCATTGGTGGGATAGTGTCCCACATAATTTACAACCTTCATGAAATTAATTTTGATGAACCTCCTTGTATAATATCTTATGACGTATCAAAGTAAGATTTTTTCTTTTTCTAATCTTAATCAATTTCCTCCAAAATTTCTTATGAGAGTCAAAGGTTTTCAGCATAAATGTAGGCTTTATATCTAATCTAAGTCTCTCTGTCCTCCAAATGTTTCTAGTTATGGTAAAGTATTTGACATATAAGAAATGAAACTTTGGTGCCATACATCTTTTGAAAAACGTTTAGTAAGCTTATGATAATATTCTTTTTAAAAAATGTATTGTCACTTGTAACAAAACATATATATTATAAATAACTTATACATACTTGAATTGTTCATATTCCTTTTTCTTCGGGGTGGGGGGAGGTTAGAAAATAAATGTGACACCATGAAAAATGCATTATTTTTATTTCTTTTACCAGATATTTCTTGCAAATTGTGCAAATACTATAGACAAGGCAAAATTGAACTTTGAACAAATTATTCAGCATTTTAGAAAACCTATTACTTTTCCACTTTCATAGGAGATAGAAATGTCAGTTATTAATATAGAAATTATGCGACCTTATGAGAATTGTCAACCTCCTTTGCAACAGTTTTTAAAATCATTTACAGTGTAATAATGAAGTTCTACCAGCACATCCTTGGCTTGGCTTTTGCTGTGGAGGAGATCAATGAAGACTCCCAAATCTTACCTAACATCACTCTTGGGTTCCACATCTATGACAGTTACCTCAACCCAAAGATGACCTATCGCACCACCTTAGACCTGCTTTTCAAATCCCAGGAATTTGTCCCAAACTACAAATGTGATAGCCAGAAGAATGTAATGGCCATCATTGGGGGATTGGATTTTATCACATCATCTTATATAGCTGAAATTCTAGGATTCTTCAAGATTCCACAAGTAAGTTCTGAGGGGTTAAGAAGATATTTTTTATTCTTATTCTTAGTATGGAATAAGTAATGGGCAACAAAGGTTAAGCTTAGGTTTCTGTTAAGATGTTATGCATGGCTTCAGGTCTAATTTTTGGCATTCTTTTCTGAAACAACAATGCCAGTTCCAGGAAATGAGTATCAAGCATCAATCCATACCCGAGGGAAGATTTGAATGGTGTCTATTAAAATAATCAATTCATGTTTTTGAAATATTTTCATGCAATGAGAACATCCTCAGTATAAGAGAATTGGAAGGAACCTTGGAAGTCTTCTAGTTTAAGAAACTGTTACTATATTCTTAAAATAATGCTAGGGGAAAATGTTCCTTGGATATATTTTATATCAAACCAAAATAGGAAAATTAAATCTAAAGACTCAATGGAATACTACTGGATTTTCTTTCAGCTGACATACGGCTCATTAGCCCAAGAGGAATTTCAGACCAGTAAGCTCTCTTCATTTTATTTCATGGTCCCCAAAGAGGACCATCAGTACATTGGGATTGTCCAACTGCTTCGTCATTTCAGGTGGACATGGATTGGGATATTTTCTGTTGATAATAACAATGGAGAAAATTTTTTACAAAAAATGCAGCCTTTACTTTCACAGAATGGAATCTGCTCAGCATTTATAGAAAGGCTTGCTCAACAACTTCCCATGGAAAACTTCCCACAACTTTATCAAACAATCTCACTTGTCTCCATTAATATGATGAATAGCAAAGCCAAAGCATTTCTGGTCTATGGAGAAGCCTGGATAATTATATGGCTAAGATTTGTCACATTTATGGTAGACCCAGAAAGCAAGGAAACTGCATTACTTAGAAAGGTGTGGATCATGACTGCACAGATTGATTTTGTATTATCAGGAATTCAAATCACACTAGATCTTAAGATGTTCCATGGGGCTATTTCCTTCAGTGTTCATTCGACAGAAGTTGTAGGTTTCAGGGAATTTCTTCAGACCATAAATCCTCTTTCAGACTACAGAGATGGGTTTCGGCAAAATGTCTGGGAACAATCCTTTGATTGTTCATTTCCAAAGCCAGAGTTAGAAGACATACTCAGTAGGAAATGCACTGAGGAGATGAAGCTAGAGGATCTTCCTGCACCTGTGTTTGAAATGGAAATGACTGGCCAAAGTTACAGTGTCTACAATGCTGTTTATGCTGTGGCTCATGCTTTGCAGGCTCTATACATGTTCAATAAAAAGAAAACTACGATGAGTAAAAATCCTGAGCTTCCACAACTGCAGTCTTGGCAGGTATTCTCTCTTCATTGTACATTTATTTTAGTTCAATGAGCATTTTGAAGTATACCTATCATTTTGGAAAATCTTAATATTTTCTGTATTTGGGAACAGGTATGAGAAACAAAGTAGAAATGGGGAAGAATTTCCTGATGGTGAAACAATTAACAATTTGTTAATGGAACAAGCTGTCTGCAGAAGTTGTGGATGCTCCAACATTGTAGGTTTTTTTTTTTCCAGAGAAAGGTAGCTATTTGTCTGAAATGGCATAGAGTCTCCTCAGGGTGTTTGGTTAGATTAAAAGACCTCCAAAATGTCTTTCTACCCTGTTATACAGTTCTGTCTAAAATAGACACATAAAAATTATTTCTTTCATCATTCTGTTATATTGTTATACTGATCAGCAAGAAGTGATTGTATAAATTATGGTTTAGATCAGGGGTCTGCAACCTGTGGCTCTGGAGTCACATGCGGATCTTTCAGCCCTCTGCTGTAGCTCCCTGTTGGCCCCTCCTCTCCCCATCACTCCTCACCTGGCTTGAAGATGTAAGGGTGATGGCAGGGGATAGAAACTCACTCCATATTCCAGAGCAGAAGGTGACTGGGTGGGAGTGAGTGATATTGAGTTGGCTTTGCCCACTGGTTGTTAAATTATTGGCTCCCAGTGTTTTCTTTTCTGTGGGAAACAGGTCCAAATGGTTTTTTGGGTGTTTAAGATTGCAGATCCCTGGTTTAGATGTTGGCAGAAGTTATTTAGTAAATCATCCTAGCTTGCACAATAAGAGATAGTTAAAATGATAATTTAAATTACTTTTAATTGTCTCTTCCAAAAATAATCAATTCTCTTTGAACTTTCTCTGTGGCTCATGAAATTTCATGGGTGACAAGTAAAGCTTTCTGTCTCTATCAGAGTTTTACAGGAATAAAATAAAAATGGTCCTTTTTACATGTGGCATCAATAGTATCAAACAAACCTATGTTTTTAATAATCTCTTCCTCACATCCATCTATCAAATTTAACAGATAATTAGAGTTGGAAGGGACCTTGTAGGTCATCTAGTCCAACACCCTGCCCAGGGAGGAGACCCTACACCATTTCTGACAGATGGCAGTCCAATCTTTTCTTGAAAATCTCAAGTGATGGCACTCCCACAACTTCCAAGGGCAAGCTGCTCCATTGGTTGATTGTTCTCACTGTCAGAAAGTTTCTCCTTATTTCCAGGTTAAATCTATCCTTGTTCAGTTTCCATCCATTATTCCTTGTCTGGCCTACAGGCACTTTAGAAAATAGCTTGACCCTTTCCTCCCTGTGGTAGCCCCTCAAATATTGGAAGACCTCTATCATGTCTCCCCTGGTCCTTCTCTTCACTAGACTAGCCAGGCCCAGTTCCTGCAACCATTCATTGTATGTTTTAGCCTCCAGTCCCCAATCACCCTGGTTGATCTTCTCTGTAATTTTTCTAGAGTCTCAACATCTTTCCTATAATGTGGTGAACAAAACCGGATGCAGTACTCTAGGTGTGGTCTTACTAAGGCTTCATAGAGTGGTATTAATACCTCACTTGATCTTGATTGTATCCTTCTGTTAATAGAATTTAAGATTGCATTAGCTTTTTTAGTTATCAAAAAAATGCTTGAGTCTCAGATTCTAAAAATTGGTTAAAGGAAATTAGTCAGACCTCAAACTTTAAAATAGCTTTGTATTAATGAGAATGATTAGATATGGGCTAGGTTGAATTCATTGTTTAAGTAGGGAACCCAAATCATAATTAAAGGAAGTTACATAATTCCCAAAGCCTAATTTTTATTCTGCTTAAATTCAGTCTTACTTTTCCTTAAAATATTTTCAAATTATATTAGAGTGAAAATATATAACTCCATGGAATATCAATTATTAAATTTCTAAGCATACATATTTAATAATAGTTATAGTAACAGTAACAATGAGTATATTAAACTTGGGCATGATGTTCTTTTCTCTACTATTAGCCTTTCAATTTCTTCTCTCTTTCATTCCCTTTCAAGTAGCTCCATTCATTTCTTCAAGGAATTTCTTTTAACAATTCAGCTGGGGAGAGAGTGTTCCTGAATAAGAAAGGAGAAGCAACAGGTGGATTCGACATCACCAACTTCATCACTTTTCCAAACAGATCCTTTCAGAGAGTCAGAGTTGGAAAGATAGATTTACAGGCTCCAAAAGGGAAAGAATCGTTCATTGATGAAGAAGTGATTGTCTGGAATCCAGCTTTTAACCAGGTATTAAATTACTGAATTGACCATGCCTTAATCCATTATGATCCCATTTAGAACATAATCACTTTCCAAATCTGATTTTTGGTTTTTAAAGAAACAATGAAATATTATTTTCATGTGTTGTTGGTGATCAAGAACTCATTAAATTGACATTGCAAAGTCATGTAAAAATATATTACCATACCATTGTTGGAAGAAATATCTTTTTGGGTTCAGTTCCATATGGGGAAAAAACACTGGAAACAGGGAGGCTGATTGGAAAGATGGTTTAATGGCGAAGCAGATTCTGGGTAGCTGACCGCATGGAGTGGAGAATAAGATATATTTATACTCTGTTAGGTTTTGAACTTGCATCCTGTTCCTGTTGCAAGAAATGTAACCTGATTGGTTGTCAGAATCCTGTTAGGAATGTAAGTCACCTAACAGTTGGGTTGGAAAATATATAAAGCAGGATAGACATTTTAATACTGTCTCTTTAAGGGAATGCTAAAATGGTGATTGGGTATGGTTCCTCAAACAGCTATAAGATGGAGCCAGAAACCAGGGTTGTTCTGTTGTTCTGTAGAGTGTTGCCGTTCCTATTTACTGATAGGAATGATGATAGCTGATCATAGTTGGATTTGATGTAAGTCTGTTACTGAACTGTTTTTGATTCTGGACTTTGATATTTGGATTATCCCTGGACTGAAAACTGACAGCTTTAACTGTTAATGACTGGGACTGCTTGTTTGAACTTTGCTTAACCATTTACTGGAAGTAAAAACCTACATTTTACTATACAGTGTATCTGTGTGCTGGTTGTGTGTTATTCTTTACCACTCTCACTACGTCTCCCTGTGTGCGCTCATTCTCCTAATGGGGAATTACCTCAACACTGGTTATGGGTCCAGGCCATACCAGGCTCACATAACTGAGAGTTGGTGTGAATGCACAGTACTGTATACAGACAGCTGTTTACTGTTTAATTGTGGTTTACTGTCCTGGTAAAGATGGCACAAGACACTTCAATAAGTCTATCACTGATAACCCAGTTGGATGGAACAAACTATGTTTCCTGGTCTATGAAGTGCAGTCTACTTCTGTGTAAGAAGGGTTATGGATGTAAGAAGAATTCAAGATCCACCGGATGTAAATGCTTGGGATCCAGAAAATGAGGATGATGCCAAGAAGCTTGCTGACTTTAAACAGAACAACAAACGAGCTCTTTGTATAATGGGACTAACACTGAGTGACCAGCAGCTAGTCCATATTCATGGAGAAGAGTAGGCTGCTAAGTGTTGGGAGAATTTGAAGAGGATTTATATTCATGACAGTGTAGGTGCACATATACATCTTAAACTGTTTAGAGCACATCTTCTGAAAGGTGGAGATATGTTAGCTCATTTGAACTTCATGAAAAGAACTTTTCAAGAGCTATATGAAAAAGAACTGATATTTTCAGGGCTGCATCAAGTTTACATCATTCTTTCCACATTGGATAAAAATTATGATGATTACATATCTTTATTGGAAGTCCTGCCCAGAGATAAACTGACATTGACTGACATAATCGGAAAGTTGTTAGAAGAAGCAATAAAACTACTGGATAGGTACCAACTAAGGAAGGAGCAACCACAAGAAGAGAATTTGTGTTCAACTGCCTATACTGTTAGGAAATGTTTTTCTTGTGGGGCTACATATAGCTAGATTCTTTAAGAAGGGAAAACAACAGAATACTGGTAATCACCAGAAGGCTAAGAAGAATGTTAGTTTAGCTATGTCTAGCAATTCAACTGTAAACCATGATTTGTGGGTTGTTGATATGCATTACTAAAGATAGAGAGAGGTTTGTCCACAAGTAAGCAACATGTACCATTGGCAAATGGATGGAAGATGAAAGCATCTGGTGAAGGTACTGCATATTGTTCATGTATAAATGAGCATTTACCTATGTTATATGTACCTAAACTGAAATTTAATTTGTTATCAGTAAGGGCTTTAGTTAATATTGGTTATGTAGTAACTTTTAGGGGAGATAACTGTATAATAGAGAAAGAGGGTAAAAGTGTTACTGCTAATTTAGAGAATGATTTATATGTGATACATGATGACCAGTTGCAGATGGCTAACTTAGTTTATAACAATGTTAAGCCACATAATGAATGTATACATTTACTGCATAGATGTCTGGGGCACATTCATTTCAAAATATTGAAACAAACTGTTGAATTGTCAGAGGGAGTAAAATTAAAAGCCTGTAGCAAGTACTTAAACTGTAATGCCTGCAACCAAGATAAAAGCAAGGTTACTCCAGCAAACAGATTAAATGGGTTTAAGACCAAAGAACCTTTAGAGGTTGTTTTTGCTGACATAATTGGTTCTAAGAAACCTAGTTTGGGAGGTACCTGCTATGTTTTGAGTATAATGGACCATTACTCATGGTACGGTTTCTGCTATCTCATGAAAAACAAAACAGAAACATTCCAACATTTCTTTAACTGGCGAAGTTTTGCTGAGAGAAAAATGAGGAGTAAAGTAATTACTTTAGTTACTGATAATGGGAATGAGTTTGTTAACAAGATATTCCAAACTATGTTGAAATTGACTGGTGTCAAGCATAAATGTTCTGTACCTTACAGACCACAACATAACTCATTTTTAGAATGAAGAGGGCAAACGTTACAAGCCATGGCTTGTGCTATGTTATCTGATTCAGGTTTGCCTGAAACACTGTGGGGTGAGGCCATAATGTGTAGTAACCATGTGTTAAACAATGTGTTTAACACAACAACTGGTGAATTGCCATTCACTCATTGGCATGGCAGAAAACCAAATTTAAGTTATTTACACACATTTGGAGCACCAGCATGGGTGCATATTCCCTCACAAGTAAGAATGAAAGGGCAACACAGGGCTAATAAATTATTTTTTTGTAGGTTACAAAGCCAACCATAGATCATTTAGATTTTGGGATCCAGGCATAGCTCATGTTTATTGTAACACTAGTGCAAAAAATTTTGAACATATTGGGTGGGATAAACTGGAACAGAAATCCAGCAATGATATTATTGACACCCAAATAGTCCCTAAAGATGAATTAAGTAAACCAGGAATAGCCATTAAAGAAGAAAAACATGCACAGGAGGAAGTAGAACAGGCACAGGAGGAGGTAGAAGAACAGGAGCAGGTGGAACAAATGAGTCCACCAGTTAGCCCTGTATTGCCAAGATGTTCAACCTGAGTAACACAACCACCTGATAGATATCAGGCTAGTGTTTTATGCCAGGTGAATACAGTTCAAAATAACTATAATGAACTAAAACTGTATCCTGCTAAGGATCAGGCTGCTTGGCATGAAGCAATGGATAAGGAACTGAAATCCTTACAAAAACTGGAGGTATATGAAAATGTCAGGTTACCACCAGGTGAGCAAGCCTTAGGGTGTAAATGGATTTATAAGCTAAAGACAGGTGTAGATGGGACTGATACCCATAAAGCCAGGTTAGTAGTAAGGGTCCAATCAGACAGGTCCAATGACTACGATGAAGTGTTTACACCTAGTATGAAGACTACTACATTAAGAGCAGCATTAATGTGGGCACCTAAGGAGGAATACATTGTAAATCATTTAGAAGTAGAGACGGCATATCTGCATGCACTGTTGCAACACACTATACATTTGAAGAAACCTTTAGGTATTAAAAATGATAATACAACTGATTGCTGGAGATTGAAAAAGAGTCTTTATGGATTGAAGCAATCAGGATATGAGTGGAACCAATGTATAGTTAAGGAATTAACCAAGATAGGTTTTGCAGCTGGCATGGATGATCCATGCTTGTTTAAAAAGGAAAGTGATGGTGTAGTGTCATTGTTGCTATTGTTTACTTATGACATAGCATTAATCACCAAAACTGAACAAGAAGCTACTAAAATAATATAACTGTTAGAGAAGAAATTTAAGATAAAACAGTTAAGAGAAATTAAACAATATCTTGGTTTAAAGATAGATAGAACTAGGGGAGAATACAAAATCTCACAGGCAGATAAAATTAACCAATTACTAAAAAGTTTTAAAATGGAACTTTGTAATCTGGCTAAAACACCGGTAAGCCAGGAGTTTAGCCATAGTGATATTCAAAGTCCTGTTTTTGATAAGAACATTTATCAGTCTTTGATTGGTAGTTTATCTTATCTCAGTAATTAGTCAAGGCCAGATATAACATACAGTGTTAACCAATTAGCCAGATTTAATACTGAGATGACTGACAGGCACTGGCAAGCTGCTAAGCATGTGTTAAGATATTTGAAACAAACAATGCATTATGCATTGTATTTGGAGCCTTAAGATGAACAAAGTCTTACTGCATATTCCAATGTAAGTTTTGCTACAGACATAAATGCATGTAAATCTACGTCAGGTACTGTAGTACCCTGTTTCTCCAACAATGCGGCCTCCCCCAATAGGAAGTCCCAACATGTTTTATAGGCATGAAATGAAATTAAGCCCCTCCCCCCAAATTAAGGCCTATATTAAAACAAAATGGGGGGAATGGTGGGGAGCTTGCCGTTAGGAAGTACTTTTTTAAAAAACAAATTTTATTAATTTTCAAAGACAATACACAAACAAAACATAAAACATAAGAACATAGAAAATATTTTCTAAGAACTGCTTAACAAAACAAATAAAACATCTTATTTAAATACAACATAATTCCAAATTATCACATTTCCATACAAACACAATTTAATATGAATCTTATATATTCAACTTCATATCTTATTACTCTTTTTCCAACTTTGTTTCTTCCTTTACTTCTGTTCAATTTTATTCATTAAACTTATATTTTCGTCTATTTCATATTACTATATTTCATATTGTTACTGTTTCATATGTTCTTATCCAACATTATTAATTCTCAATAAACAAACATAAACAAACAAAATACATAACATAAAGACATAAAACTTCTTTTTAGAAAGCAGCTTAACCCCAGGTTACAACTTTTTGTATAGACATAAAT